TTTTTAAAATTTTCAATGCCCCCCCCCCCCTCTAGAATTTGGAATCGAAGGAGTACAATCCGGAATTCTCTCTTATCAAAGATACAATTTGTAGTTCCTCAAGATGTCTCATGATATACTCAAGCTTGTGCTTCTCCTCAACAAAACTACCGATCTGCTGCTTCTTTCACCTCACTAGCGCCAGATGAAATGGCACCGTCTTTAAAATTTTTTTTTTAATTGGCTCTAGGGGCGAAATTATCAACAGGTTGTTGTTGTCCATCATTCAGCGTAGTCGGAGTCTTGAACACGTTCATGTTGTGGCCAGGATTTCCTGGATCAGGGTAATGTGCTGGAACCTTACAGAATGTCGCCCCCACCCAACGTATCTCCCAGCATCTGTTGCAAATGTCTTTGCATGCCTGTCAAAAATGCATGCAAAAGTGCCAGTGTGCTTCAATTTCTTTAATTATCATCCCGTTTGTACTAAATATCCCATAAACATAGAACATATCATTCTTACAAATCGTATGCTTTTTTTTTTTTTTGGACCTGCTACTTTTTGGCGGGTAAATTACTTCACAAACCTGGCGCCAAAAAAATTAAAATAAGCTATAGGTGATTTCATGTATCTATTTAGAAGAGCAGACTAAGGATATCTTAAAACTGAAATCGTTTTCGAATACAACCATCAGGAACGTAGCAAGCATCTGACGTTTTTGGGGGGATGTCGGAGGATTATACGTGTAATAATTATAATAAAGCTTTTTGTGATTGATTGGCACTCTCATACTAAGTTTTGGGAGAGAAGGAGGGTCTTCTGGGGGTCCTCCCCCAGAAATTTTTACATTTTTTAAGCTAATTAGGACTGAATTTCTGGCATTTTCTGAAGCAAATTTCGCAAACAAATTGCATGTAAATTGACTGTATTTTACAAAAATGGTTATCATTTCACAGAAATAATTACTTTATTATGCAAATTTTACCTGAACATGTCAAAATTTTAACTTGAATTTGCTGGGGTGAAAACTTTGAAAAGTTTAGAGCCCCCCCCCCCCTTCAGTATATCAAGAACTTTCAGAGCCTCCCCCTTTAATCCCGGAAAATATTTCGGTCCCCCCCTTAACATCTTCATCCCCCCTCGGCATAATAAATGTACTTTCCCTTATGTCGCTAAAAACAGTATATTTATAATTTTTTTATGATATTTCCTGAATATTCTGAAAAATCGGGAGAATTTGATAAAAATCGGGAGACCGGGAGATTGCATGAATTTTCGGGAGACTCCCGGTAAAATCGGGAGAGTTGGAATGTCAGTGTATCCATAAAATATTTACATATATGCAAATACTGCATATTTTCAAAATCCGCCATATTTATTTACATTAGAACGCAGGCTTTCGCGGTTCACACGAAATATTAACGTCGGTGATTTTCACTAATAATAAGAGGGTAGGATTTAAAAATATACAGTATTTGCATATATGTAAATGTTTTATGGATACAGAAGCAAGATATTGAACAGTTCAGGTGCCGTACACTTTATTTTAACTGCTATTTAGATAGAATACTATTGTTGCCGAATTGAATTTGTCCTAAAGCCCGTGCATCAAGTGGTGAGAATTGACTTCCCGATCAACTAGCGCCTAGTCTCGCTCGACGGGAAAATTGGCGCGAAAATTTTACTTGTAATTTACAAAATGGCGCAGACTGGAGTTTTAAGAAATGATTTTATATTCCGAACCTAATTAAACGACTTTTTTCAAAATTTCCTTCGTGTGATGTACGATTGCGATATTGCCCTACGCTCGAGCAACACTGACTTCGATCGTGTCGAGTATCTTCTACGAAATATTTCGGAATACAAGGAGACAATACGTGTGATGTATGGACGAGTTTGTGAGCATCATGAGCACACGTCACCATTACCACAATGTTTTCAGCAGTTAATGCAAATTGTTCATAATACGGTAGACAGCCTAAACTCTTTGTATCGCGAAAATGGACCTGTTCTTGCCAACAACAATGGCGATTACGGGCATGGAGCCGGAGAACCATTTCGTTCCGAGCTTGTAAGTTCTGGGCAATCTGGAAGACCACGATTCAATATCACCGAGGAGCAAATTGTAGTGTTACGTGAAAGACTGGGTTTTCGGTGGACAGATATTGCCTCACTCCTACATGTATCTACGAGAACATTAAATAGGCGACGTAGAGAAAACGGCATGCATGACTGTTAGCCTGCTCACAGACGTTGTTATTCTTACGCCAAGCGAAGGATTACTACCGCCTGCTTACCCGAGCGCCATATTCAATTCCCTTTGTTTTAGGAGCCAAGCATCTGGCAGTGTTCAAAAGAGTTAGAGCCAATTGGAAGCCGCCTTACTGAGAGATTAGCTACTGGGGAAAGCCCTTGCACATGCATTGGAATATATTGTTTGCGTTGAAACTTGAAATTTGTTTACTTGCGTGGATATATTTTGGAAACTATAGCGTTGAGCTTCACGATGTGTACGTAGAATAATATTGTAATCATCTTCTCGCATGTTCAGCAAACAATTGGTGTATATAAAGTGCTAAAATAAAGCCATTCAATGCAGTAGGCGAAATTTAAATTTTTGTTAACAATGTCAATGACAAACAATCAATCGGGAAACTCGAGTATATCAGGATATGTCCAAGTGTTGCTATTGATACTTTCTATATGCCATGACTTCGACGAAAACTTCTAAAAGATTAAGCTCTCATTGTCATGTAGAAAAGTATAGCCAAGTTAGAGTATAAACGTTTCAAAGTTTGGGCGAATTGGAAAATTCATCACGGCGCAATTTTAATACAAGTTTCTAGGGTTGGTGTTGTGTTTACAGTTTACATTCAGAAGTGGTTGCCCAAACAGCAAATTAGTTTACTTTGAAGCTAATATTTCGCTTTCTAAGCCACAGTATTATATCAAATTATCTGTCTTCCGAGTTCTGTTGTCTTATAAAGATAAACATCTGTCAAAAGTTCAAATTTCAGCGAAATATATTCGGCATTTGAATGATTTGATGCCGTCTCGCCTGTCTGGCTTCGTACATGTTATATTAAATATGCCAATCCTGTCCGCGTTTTAAATATAACCGAACATCTTTAATATCCAAATATGATCATTAATGGTGCATTTTATTACCTGGACAAGTATCAGTATCTTTAAATTCAATTTATGTGCAATTTTGAGCAAAATTCAACCGACGACTGCTTTCAAAATATATATTTATATTTATTCCGCTCCTAAATCAACTGACGTCACTTTCCAGAATTTGGAAGGTAAATTCTGATTGGCGACGTAGCGGAATTGAGTTTGACGCTCGGGTAAGCAGACGGTAGTAATTCGTCGCTTGGCGTAAGAATAACAACGTCTGTGAGCAGGCTACATGACTGTTGGCCAGGCAGAAAGCTTTTCTCAAATAACGAATGACGAGCTTGACAATCTTATTAAAGCTATCCTAACAATAACGCCGCAGTCTGGGCTTGGTTTAATCCGAGGTGCTTTGAGATCTAGAGGTTTATTAGTACGGCAAAGACATCGCGTAATTGCTGCCTTGCAGAGATTAGATCCAGTACATCTGCCTTGAGAATGTCCAGAATGATTATTCGGAGAAAATATAATGTTCCTTGTCCTAATGCTTTATGGTAAGTGTAAGGTTTAAAGGTTATGCATCATGACGTCACAAGGCTTGATGCCCGTGAGGAATGCTAGTCTTATAGTGGTCATCGCCCAGAAAAATTTACTGCAGAAGATGACATGCATATTCCTCGCAGAAACATCGCCAACAGCTGACCGTAGAAAATTACCTTTCGTCTAGTACAAGAACAAAATATCAATAACTATGTGTGACATTTCTAAGGGGGGTGGGGTGGGGGTCTCCAGAGAAACATCTATATCACGTTTCTCATGGACAAAATCGATATGTGAGGCTTCCCTAACACTACTAACCAACTAAAATTGATTGTTAAGGGATGGTGAAAGCTTTGCAGCAACAAGCTTTCATGATTAGAGAAAGGTGTGCAGGGGGGGGGGGGGCACCACAAGGCTTCAACTTTGTTTGCAGGTAGGTGGAAGACAGGACCCTGCCACTCCAATGGTTTTGTTAGTGGTCAGGAGCTGTTCCTCTCGATAACATATATTTAGAAACCTCCAAAAACGTCCCGTGAGTACTAAATACAAAATCAACTATATTGATGGTCATGTTATTTGCTTTGTTTTCTTGAAATTATAAACTTTTAAATCAGCTAGTGGTGAAGCAAGATCTTAGCTAGAAGACTGTCTTGGCCGTGTTACCACGGACATAAATTAGAAAATATGGCAAAGCAAAAAGCCCACAGCTTGGTTATTTACATTAAACTGCATAGTTTGTGATATTGAATGCTTTTGCTTGTTTCAATAGGCATACAGATGGTGATCACAAGCTTGTGCAGCCATTTAGATTTGTGATTCATGGGGGAATCGATGGCTATTCACGTCTACTGGTCTATATTGGAGTTGCAAATAACAATAGCTAAGGGCAGCTACTGTTCTTAGTCTATTTAGAGAAGCTATCAGGCAATACAACTGGCCATCTCGAGTGCGCAGCGACAAAGGACTTGAAAATATAGATGTGGCAAGAGCTATGCTGCAAGTTCGGGGTTTAAACAGGGGTAGCATTATCACAGGCAGTTCTGTACATAATCAACGTATAGAGAGACTGTGGCGAGAGGTGAATAGACTCGTTGTCAGTAGATTTCAAAATATTTTCTTATTCCTGGAAAATCATGGTGTGTTAGATGCTACAAATGAAGTCCACCTTTACTGCCTCCATCTTGTGTATATACATACCACTTATCAACAATGCTCTGCGGGAATTCAAAGATCAGTGGAATAGCCATCCAATAACTACTGAGAAAAACTACAGCCCAAGACAATTATGGGAGCAGGGGATGATGCAGCACGTACACGATGACTACACTACTGTCCATGCTGTTGCTGATGGAGAAGTTATAGACTGGGATGAATATGGGATTGAATAAGATGGGCCTATACCAGATATTCAAGAAGGTGATCTGGTGTCTGTACCTGAATCAACCGTTGTACTCTCTGATGATCAAGTGAACATAATTAACAATGCAATAGCCAGTGTTCAACATGATGATCAAGGAATAGACTCTTATATAGTAGCTTTTGCAACCATAGGAACTTTTTAAACATATAATATAAATCAGTAATAACAGTTACTGTACAAGATAAGATTACTCATTAAGCTTAAGCATTAAGCGCTACTGATCAGAAACATGATTCTTGGCCAACTTTTCTTTGTCGAAATTTGCAGATATGATGTTGTGGAATGATTTTTGCAGCAAAAAAAAAAACAAAGTATAACTAATCTATAATTCCCTTAATGATATCATATCCCTTAAATTATACAGTGAAACAATCATATTTGAGATTAATGGCACTTTCACAAGCACCATCATAATCAAGCAATATTACCATAAATGAAATGTTACAAACAGAAATGTACTAAAGTGCAAAAGGTAATTAATGGACACTTTTTAACACGGAATTGTTTGTGCACATGTACTGTACCATAATTATTTGCTCAAATGTAACTAACATAACTCAAGTGTTTTTTCACTGCATATTCAGAGACTACATTTATGTCTATACATATGTACTAGAGTACATGCTGAGAATCGATTGCTACGTTCATTGCTTTACAAAAATGTTCATAGTTCGTGTGCATCAAAGGAAGGCTTACTCTACCAAAGCACGAATCAGGGTCAGGAAAGTAACCATTCATGAATTTCACTTTTATTTCCATGTGCAGAACAGGTTGGCCAAAGATAAACAGAACCAATTCTTTTAAAGAAGGTGCACTTTGTAACTCACTTCCCTCGCCAGTGGCAGTGTCATCAGTGACAGCATCATTTTCATCTACATGCATGTAAAAACACAATTATATATTCCAAGTTTGTACAACACATTACCTTGCAT